GCGGCGCGCTATAGCTGAGGAGGAGCGGGGCGGGCAGATGGCGCCTGGCGGGTACGGTACGTCCGTGCCCGCTTAGGGCGGCAGCGGGCGGGCGGCGCCATCGGAAGTTTGCTGTTGCGGGCGGGGCTAGGGGCGGAGAAGGCCTGGAACCGTCCGGGGCAGTTACGGACGTGGTCACGGGATAGAAGCAAGCCTGGGACGCGCGCCATCATCTTTGGCCTGACACCAGCTGCGTGCGGCCTGGGTAGTTCAGCCTTAAATGTATGGAATCAGGCATCTCCTAGGGGCACAGTGGTCAAAATGGACCCATCTTGCTGTACCGTGTTCAAGGGGAGCCTGTTTTGCACTTACAGCAGAGAGAACTTTGTAATCTGGGAGAGTTAGGCACAGTGAAGTGGGTCAGGTGAATCCGAGTAGGAATGACGTTTAACTTGTTGGGTTGTGTGTGTTTTTCTGCTTTTCTCTTTCAGAGCTGTTGCGCAGCCATTGGTACCTGTATTGGGGAAACATAGCATACAAGCAAGAAGCTTACAGCCTCAGTGGCGAAAATTTTTTCATGTCAGAGACCGAGAACTCTTGCAGTCGTTTATGTCATCCCTTCTTCTCCAGACAGAAGATACCAAAAAGTTGCAATCAAAGATCTCTTCATCTTATTGATAAAGTCACTAATAAGCCAAAATGTCTGTCAACGTCAACCGCAGCGTTTCAGACCAGTTCTATCGCTACAAGATGCCCCGTCTGATTGCCAAGGTAACACTGGTCTTCACTTTAGTATGATGTCAGTGCATAGTTCTTGGTACATCTTAGAAGATTGCATTTCGTAGGGGAGAGAGTGCAAAATTAAAATTCTTGTTTTCTTTAGGTTGAGGGCAAAGGGAATGGAATCAAGACAGTTATAGTCAACATGGTTGACGTTGCAAAGGCGCTTAATCGGCCTCCAACGTGTAAGTAAGCTTCCTGGACAAATCTGAAATGTTATTTAATGGGTGAGATCTTGACAGTCTGAGCCATTATGTTGTATTGTGTATGCTAGCTAGTTTAAGGGCTTGTGGAACCGTGGACTTAAAACAAACAGTTAATGGTTGCCATAAGTTTACTGAACTGCTGGACAACATACTTCACTGGCTTCAATTTCATTTTTCTTTATTTTTGTTTCTCATTGCTACATATTTGTCATATGTATTGATCACATTCATCATAGGGAATTTGTACCTGTATGTAACACATCTCAATTTTCCCATTCTCTTCTCCCTCCAACCCTTCCTTCCATTCTTTTTTACTTTTCCCTTCCCACTCCCTACTCCCTTGTTCCCCTTTGCATTTTGAACATGTTCTTCCTACTTCCCAATATCAATCCATTATGCTCCATTTGCCTTTTGGGTTTCTCACTTGAAACAATAACATAGTATAAATGTAGTTGAGAGCCAGAGATTAAAGTAAATAAAACACACTGTCCGTCTCGTTTTTACTAGATCCCACCAAATACTTTGGTTGTGAGCTGGGAGCACAGACCCAGTTTGATGTAAAGAATGACCGTTACATTGTCAATGGATCTCATGAGGCGAATAAGCTGCAAGACATGTTGGATGGATTCATTAAAAAATTTGTTCTCTGTCCTGAGTGTGAGAATCCTGAAACAGATCTGGTAAGTATCCTTAAAGTTTTTGTTGGAACGGGAGGTGTAGCTTAGTGTTGAGACTTTGCCTAGTATGTGCAAGACCTGAGCTCAATCCCTAGCACCTCCAAAAAATTTTGTCAATTACAATGCCACAACTTTTTATGATCACTTATATGCTAACACTAAATCATACTCCAGAGATAGCACAAATTGTTAGTTTGGAAATATTTCTTTTTTTTTTTTTTTTTTTTTTTTTTTTTT